AATCTCCCCCATGATTTTTATTTGTGGTTTATCATACAGCTTTTGGGGCTATACATGACTGATAGCAGAAATAAGAAGATATTTGTGTATATATGTGTGAGTCTCAAACTTGAGGCCCTCAAGGGAAACCATGGAGTCCCAATGGAAATCCTCAGAAAAAATCCATAAAGGGCCTTTTGTATATTTTCGAATTTTGGCGTCATGTAGCAACGAGAATTGTGTCGGTTTACCTGTGTCATTTACATAGCATTGGAAGAAAGTCCGTGGTCTCTCTCTTCTCCCGAGACTGAATCAGTCTCATCGCAGGCTTTTCCCAGCATCAGACTTTAAAACAGAATCATGTCTCACTGAGGTTCAGGCCAGGGTGACCTTGGGTCGCAGCTGGGAGAGCAGACTCAGGCCCCTCGGGGCTCTGCCCTTAGGGAGGGCAGGCAGAGCGAGCGGAGCTTTCAGAGCATTTCCAGCACCATTTCCTGGGCTGCTTCCAGCTGTGCTGTGCTTTCTGCTGAATCCTGTGTGGCTGAAGGTAGGAGGTAGCAGGAGGTGTGTACTAGTTTTTAAGTCTTTGAAGAATTTATTCTTCAGACCTCAAACTTTAAAATTTAATAATAAACTTGCCTACACTTCTAAAGTTAAAAGTTCATCTGGGGACTTTCATGTAGATGGCTTGTCATGAGAAGTGCTCCCTTTGTCCCTTCTAAGGTCATTCCTGCTTCATACCAGGCTGATGCTTTCCTGATGGAGGTCCAATGGAGAGAATTAACACAGTTTGAACATGACACTTCAAAGCCCATGTAGCAGACAAAAAAGTGATCTTTCCTTAAAACTCATATCCATGTTTATTTCCCACCTCCAGAAGACAAATCCCATCTGGTTTTCCAGCATTTTCCTTAAGGACCTAGTGTTTGGAAAGGATGTGGAGATCTCCCATGGGAATTCTTCGGGGAGTGTTATATACGGAAGGGCACAAAAGCAGAGGGTGCTCACTGATGCCAGGAGCCACACCCTCAAGTAGGAGGAAAGCGGTCCTGGGCAAAGGCAGTCACTGTCTTCCTCTGAGGTCCCTCCTCAGGAAGGCTCCCATCACTCATCCACGCTGACAGCTCTGAGTAAAATGACCAATAGACTGTTTCACTTTCTTTAAGAACCTCCCCAGGATGGCCATCTCCTTGTCTATCTCTTTGCACCTGAGTTTCACAGCCTTGTGGAGGACTTGCACGTGCTGGTGGGCCTTCCTTTCCTCCCCACGGTTGGCCACATGAGCCCATCTCAGCTGTGCTGTATCTTCTGCCTTTAAGATCAAGACATTCTTTGCTTTACTGAATCTCAGATCAGCCATAGCTGAAACCCTGGACAAGGGAGATCCCAGATAAGCAGGTGAGGTTCTGTGCTGTGTACTTGCAAGAATGTCTGGGAGCCTTTCTGTAGCTTTCAGGTTACTATTTAACTCCCCTTTGCAGGGTTGGCTGCTCACTGTGACTTCTGATCAAAAGGCAGTGGGGTCAATCTCCTGCCCCAAGGGACAGTCCAGGAGAGTTAGACAGTGGGACACACACCTCATCTTCAGCCTTTGCTTTCCTCCTACGTGCGTATCTTACAGGCTGGAGATGTCCAACTTCATCCCAGGGCTGCCTCAAATCAAACTCCAACTTTTAATACTTATTCACCTATTAAAATATCTTACTTCTATTCTTTGTTGCTTAGTGATATCCCCAACAGTTAAGTGGTTCTCCTCCTGCTGCCTGAAACTTCCTGAACAATAAAAACTGCAGAGGCCTGAAATTATAAAATTGGAGGATCGCTAAATGCAATTAAAGATCCATATGATCTTGGCAAGGACTGGAACCAGAGAGCTCATGGAGCCTAAGAATAAGACTCATATATCTGTTATTATATACTGAATGAATGACATTTTGAACCTTGTAGATATTTTTAATTTTAGCATAGGTAGGATAGTGGTATAGTTATACAGTGAAGTACTACAAATGAACTAATATAAATTTGTCACATTGATACATCTCAAAAATATATTGCTGGATAACAAAAGTTACAAAGGATACATACAGAATAATAGCATTTATATAAAAGTTGATATACACAAAATAATATATGTGATTGTGGAACAGTCATATGTAGTAAAAGTATTAATACATAGATGGTGTTATGGGTTGCATTTTTGTCCTTCGATATCCATATGTTAAAGTTCTAACCGCCAGCACCTCAAAACATGATCTTATTTGGAAGTAGAGTCATGGCAGATAGAATTCGTTAAGATGGGTTCACACTGGAATAGAGTGAGCCCTTAATCCAATATGACTGATGTCCTTATCAAAAGCAGAAACTTGGGCACAGAGACATGCATATGGGGAATGCCATGTGCTACCACAAGCCAGGCAACTAGCAGAAGCAAGTAGAGAGTCTTGGAACATACGCTTTCCTAGCACCTTTAGAGGGAACACTGTTTGGTCCACACCTTTCCTCTAACATCTACCCTCTAGAGCTGTGAGGCAATACACTTCTGATGTTTAAATTATTCAACTTTTGGTACTTTATTATGGCAACCCCAGGGGACAATGATGGATGGAAAAGATGCACATGAACTTTAAGATAATGCTTATTCCTGGGGACGGAGGCAAGAGAATGGGATTGTGGAGAGATATATGAGAAATTAATTTTATTAATAATAAAAGAAAGGTCTGTAGTATATATGGTAAAATGGTACTAGTTGTTAAATCTGGGTAGTGAACATATGGCTTTTGTATATTGTTCTCTGTCCTTTTCTTATATGTAAAGTATCCCAAAATGAATCACAAGGGTATTCACAGGAATGTTTCAGCACATCTAAAACAAGCCCAGTGCAGTTTCTGGTCACTGACTCTAAAGCCAAAATAAACCTAAAGCCCTGCCTTGTCTTTGGTGACAAAGGGGGAACCTGCTGAGTCAGAGATGAAACATGCTGAGAATCAGTCTAAGCAGGCCATCCAGAGAAAGCCAGGTAGCTGTCCTAGTTTAGATTTATTGTAGAAGCAGCTACTTTGTTCACTTGTCCATTTCTCACAGGTTCTTTATAATTGAGACTGCATCATTCATCCTGTTTTGGGGTTGTGATGTAAGATCAGAATTTTATCAATTAGTAGATTCTTATGGAAAATATTGTCTCTGAAGCCAAAGCTCGTATGATACCCTGTTTAGAGACAGTTCTCCAGAGCAGTGGGTAATATAATTCGATGTGTGAATATTCAACCTAGAGAGACTCAAAAATTCATACTGACATCTGCTGGACCCTTTGAATACTTGTTGGTCTAAGTTAGAACCAGAAATTCTAGAGCAGAACTCCCAAAAGCCACTTTAGGAACTAACTCTTGCTGCCCTGGGGTGGGTCTGGGAGCATGCTGAGATAAGCAACTTGAAATCAAATTTAAGATCTTTTGCTCACTGCATACATTTAGCATAATACATCCACAGCAGAATGAAGCAGGACATCTAGGGTATAATTAACAATCACTATTCTATGACAGTCTCAGCAACACAAATGCCAATTTGCTTGTCAAATTCCAAAGAGAGAGGAAGAGGCCATGTGGTAACCATGCAAAATAAAGTCCTTGTTTTCAGGGCCCAGCTCAGCAAGTGCTCTGTCCTTGTGTAGCAGAATAGAAATTGTGCCAGATTCTGGTCCACTGGGCTCTACATGTAAGTTCACTGGCTCTACATGTAGGTTCAGGTCCAAATTCCAGTCCTCCTGGGTTCAATTGATTCTTAAGTTTGTCCGCAAAGATGTAAATGGTGATCCATGAACCAAGAAGAGACAGTTCAGAGACTTAAGACACCAAGTTCCCTTGCTTGGGGCATGCTGATACATGCCAGCTGAAAGCTCTGATCATCATTAGATTTTGTTGTTGCTTAATAAAGACAAGAAAGTGAATTATTATCTAATACCCTCAGTTTATTTGACAGGAAAAAATTTTTTTCCTAAGAGTGGGATTATCTTTAAAAAATAATGAAAAGAATTTATTGTGGTATAAATGTTGAAAGCTATTTTTGTAGGTAATAAAGAAATTACTTTTTTCTTCTTGAAAAGGAAGTATTGATCATAACAAATAACTATTTTTTAATCTTTTCCACTTTTTACTTTCCCAATATAAGAGTTGTATGCTTTGAGTGGAACTTGGAGTTTTAAGCAAATTTCACTCATATTGTGGGATGAAAGTCAGTTCTCAGATTTTTTGTTTGTTTGTTTAGGAGATAAGCATTTATTAAAGTGCTAGGCACTTTACATGGCTCCTTGGATTTCATTAACAGATATTACTATACCCATATTACAGAGGGAAACTGTCTCAAAGAAGTTAAATATTTTACCTCAAATTTCAGGACTAGTAAGTAGCAGATCTAGAATAGGAGCCCCATTTTGTCCAATTTGAAAGCCCATTTTCTTTCTCTTGTATGATATTATTTAGTTTTGATTATAATTGCTGGGTACAAAACATTACCAGATTCTATTTAGGTCTCCTTTGTGTACCTAGGCAATTGAAAATATATATAATACCAGTGTCCAGAATTGAATCCCTGCTCAATGGTCCAACATGGGAGAGAATCAGAAGGTGAAGATGGAAGAATGATCAGTAAGAAGTGAAGGCAACAAAGGTGGGGCTTTAGTTTTATGGTCAATGTAGGCAGGGGTCCAAGAAGCATGGGGCAGTAGAGAGGACCCTTCCCAGCCCAGCCTGACTGAGGAGACTGAGCCCATACTCCCAAAGCTCTGAGTGAAGCCTTAAGAGAGGAATCATTGGGCCAAAGATGGAAATTAAGTTCCGTTTCATGTGTCAACTGTGATAACCAATAGTGACTTCCTGCATGGTTCTGCTGGAGGGAACTCAGATGAGAGCAGGACATTGTGTCCTTGTGGAGGCGGTGTATCAAAGGGGTGAAGGGCTTGGACCACAGAGCCAGGCTGCTCTGCTGCTTGTTTACTCTTGCACAGCTCTCTTAACTTCTTTGGATAAGTCAAGCTTCATAGAGAATGTTTCAGAGAAAGTTCCATGGAGCGGGGCATGTAAGTTCCTGACCAGTATGAAGCAAGGATTTCACAAAAGAACTTACAGCCAAAATCCCCGCTGCTGTAGGCTTAGAAGTCTTGACAGAACTACAGGAAGGGGGAAAAGAGCCCTTTGGAGAAGGCATGGCTTCCAGAGAAGAGACTGTGAAGAGCACACACAGGGTGCTCAGAATGTCAGTTGGATGCACTTGAATTGAACAAGGCCCTGGAGCAGCTGGTGTGGTCCCAGGTTACTCAGTACTTCCATGGACTTCAGCCAGGGCTGTTAGCCCAGTCTGAACCTGAGCTAAAAGCCCTCTCGTGGCTTTTTTTATGGCGAGTCACCTTTTACTCTAAAAATGCTACTGTGCGACAGTCAGTTTTAAGTATTCAGTACAAAAATGATTTTTCTCCAACCCTGAGATACCAGCCACCGAGTAAAAACCAAAAGCTCTGGTATGCTGTCTGTACAATTGGTGGGAAGTGGTTAGCAGAACGATGCTACGATCTGTTTCGAAACCATCATTTAGCATCATTTGGGAAAGCCAAACAGTGTGTAAACTTTGTGGTTGGACTTTTGAAAGTGGGGGGGTTGATTAATTTCTTGATTTTCCTCCAAAAAGGCAAGTTTGCAACTTTGACGGAACGTCTCCTAGGAATGCGGTCCGTATTTTGCAAGCCCCAGAACGTGCGTGAGGTTGGCTTTGAGTATATGAATAGGGAGCTTCTCTGGCATGGTTTTGCAGACTTTCTTATTTTTCTCTTACCGCTCATCAACATCCAAAAGTTGAAAGCGAAGTTGTCTTTGTGGTGCATCCCCCTTACTGGTGTTTCTAATGGTGACAGCTCATTAGCCAACAGCAGGAAACAATGTGCTCTGTGTGGAGAGTGGCCCACCATGCCCCACACCATAGGCTGTGAGCACATCTTCTGCTATTACTGTGTTAAGAGCAGTTTCTTGTTTGACATGTACTTTACTTGTCCTAAATGTGGCACCGAAGTACAGAGTGTGCAGCCACTTAAATCAGGAGTTGAGATGTCAGAAGTGAAGGCTCTTTAGTAACTAAAATGGTTTCCTCTGAGGAAAACTGTGTTATGTTTAAATCCGCAGTATTAGTCACCCTGAGTGTACTAGTTAGGTGTCTTTTATGAGAACATGTGCTTCTCAGCCACTCTTTTGTCCTTGGCAGTCATGACTAAAATCTAATCACTGGAATTCACAGATCCTAAGTATATTCTGTAAATGGCAATGTATTATTTCTTTAATGATTTCATTCAATTTTTAATGTCAAGAATAATGGACAGTTTTTGTCAGATGACTACTAACAATGCTCCTTCACTGTGCTACTTCCTAGAAAAAGGTTAGATTCTAAGAATAAAAGGTTTTGGAGACTTTGAAAAAAAAAACAACAACAAAAATAACTTCTTTGTGCTTTAATGTCTTCATCTATAAAATGCTAACAATAGCAATGCCTGCATCATGGAGTTGTTAGGATTAAATGAATGAATTCACTAAAGAGCTTAGAACAGTTACAGATTTAGCTATTATCATTATTATTTTCATCATCATTAACTAGTAATCTCCACCAGTGAGAGAGGGAAAAGTAATGTAAGAAATGTCAAGTATTTACCATTTTTTCCTCTGGCATTTTTTGCTAGTTCTGCTCTATGTTGTCTTCTTCCATATTCTGAGTTGGGGTTTTAATTTTGGTTTTTTGGCTGTCAGTTCTTTCTACACACCATACTAGTCCATGTTCCATTTTGGTCTGAGCTAATTGACACACATTCTCTACATCAGAATTCACATCTAACAGCAGATTTCTTACACTTTCTGCAGTTGCTCAAAGTCCAGTAACACAGTCTCAACCACAGAAACCCCACATTTGTTTGTATCCTTTCAGCCATTTGGTGTCTAATCAAGCATCTATTTTGTATTAGATACTTCATATATACCATCCCTGATACTTCCAATAGTCTGACAAAGATATAGTTACAAATGAGAAAGTGGAGGCTTACAGATATAAGTGGTAATTCACTTACAGGTGGAAGATCTGGGATGTAAATTTTGATATTTTTGTCTCTTAAGTTTGTGCTTCCTCTTTCTGGAACCTACTATTGTCAACACTTGGTTAGGATGCAGAGCTCTGCAGTGTCTGTCCCAAAGAATATTGGGAGAGATGAGGAAATTAGCAGAAAAACAGGGTGGCGTTTCCAGAAAAGAAATGGACAATTGAAGATCAAGTGAAGCCAGGTGCTATCATCTAACCCTGTTCTGTGCCAGGTTTGGGAATCAGACCAGGCTGATTTGGTCAGCAGCACGGCGGGGAGGGGATGGGGAAGGTTCAGAACTACAGAGCGGGTATGGCAGGAACATCAGGCACAGTAGGACTGGGCCTCATTGGAGGGGACAGGTAGGACTAGGAGCATGAATTAGACAAGAAAGTCTGTATTAATTGCTGGAGTGTAGGATGGAGCTCCCATCTTGCTGGGTCCTAGTGCCTTAGAAGTTACCTGAGAGAGAGAGAGAAAAGGCTTGTCTTCCCCTTGGAGAATTTATCTTGCAGAAGGGAAGATGAGCTCTTGGAACTTCCATTCCTATCGGTGTACCAGATACGAGGTGCCCTGATTGGCCCTCATGGAAAACAGTGAATAAATTATAGACAATATCTTATTAAAGGCTCTAATGAGCTGGCAAGAGAATAAGAAGCTATGAACCAAGGGAAAGTAGACACCCAGAAGGCAGGCTATTACCCGGGGGGCATTTGCTAAGCCAGATGAAAAGGAGCTATGGCTTTCAGAGCCTTGCGTAGTATTGCTGAATTCAAACTAAGTCCAGAGCCTGCCTGAAGAGGAGAGTCTAAAGAGAAATATGTCAGCAAAAAGTGGGCTCTGAAGGATCGCATTCTCAGGATAAGGGCGAGCTAGAAGTAAGCCCCAGTCTCCCCAGCAGGTGGAAAGAACTACTGCCTGCCTTGATTCTTGGCACCGATACAGAGGGAAATTTGTGCTGTAAAATGGCTTTCACGTGAATTTGCAGCCTGAATTCATCTTATTTTGAAGATTAAAAAAAATCTTCAGGATAAGAGTTTTAATGCAAGTGGTCATTTAAACAGATAAAAGTGCAATTGTCTCTGAAAGAAACCATTTCAAAGCCCTCAAAAGATTGCCACATATAAAATTCCAAAATATATGAATTCATTAAAAACAAACAAACATGTGATACAAAAGGAAATAAAAAATAGAGAGGATTCTCAATATTTGAAAAGAGCAAGACTACAAAGATTAAAGAAATGACTACAAGGATTTAAAACAGGAAAACTAAAACTTCTAAAAATAATAAAATATAAAGTAATTAAAATGAGAATTCAATAGATGGTTTTAAAAGCAGAATAGAAGAAGCTGCATAGTGAACTGATGAAGTGGAAGCTATGTATCTGAACAAGTGCACATCTGGGAGTCTCTGAAGAACCATAGGACAGAGAGGTTAAGAGAAGTTGACTACAGAGTCAACAGGTTCGACATGTGCTCACTGGAATTCCAGAAGAGGGAGAAAGAGAATGGGGCAATGATCAAATTTAAAGATGTCAGGGATCAAAAATTTCCAACACTAATAAAACATATCATTCCTTCATTTTAGAAACTCCAACATATTCCAGCAAGAAAAGTACAAAAAAATATATATATTATATAGACATTTAAAAGTGAAACCTCAGAACATCAAAGACAAAGACAAGATCTCAAAGGTAGGCAGAGAAAAAAATTACTTTAAAAATTAAGTTTTTGCTGATTTCTCAACAGCAAAAATGAAAGCCGTAAGTAGGATAATATTGTTAATGTACTGAGTATATTTTTTCTATTGCTGTCATAACAAATGAGCACAGATTTAGCAGCTTAAAATAATACCAGTGTATCATTTCACAGTTCTGTGGGTCAGAAGTCCAAGGTGACTTGATGAAATTCTCTACTCTGAGTTTTACAAGGCTGAAAGCAAGCTGTCAGCCAGTAGTCCTCTTATTGGGAGATCCTGGGAAGAGTCCATTTGCAAGCTCATTGAGGTTATTGGCATAATCCAGTTCCCTCCAGCTATAGGAAGAGGTTCCTGATTCTTTGCAGGCTGTCAGGTGGGGGCTGCCCTCAGATCCTGGGGCCTCTTCTCCGATCTCGTGCATGGGTCCCTGTATCCCAGGCCCAGCCTCAAATTCTCATGCTTGGAATCTTTGCATTCCTCTTTCCCACATCTCTCTTCCTCTTCTTCTACTGCATAGCTCTGATCTCAGAAACTAAGTCTTCTGCTTTTAAAGTCTCTTGTAGCTAGGTTGGGCTCACCTGGATGCTCCAGGATATTCTCCCTTTTAAAAAAATCAATAACCTTAATTATATCTGCAGGCTCCCTTTTGCCATGTAAAGTAACCTATTGCCAGTTTCCAGGCATTAAAGTATGGACATCTTTGGGGAGGGAACATTATTCTGCCTATCACATACTGAGAGAAGATAACTTTGGAAATCTTTTTCAAGAATAAAGGGAGAATGACACTTTTAGATAAACAATCAGTATGAGCATTTGTCATCAAATAGTCCTCACTAAATGAAATTCTAAAGAATGTATTTTAAGCATTGGGAATGCAATTCTAGAAGAAAGGTCTGAGGGATGAAGGATTAAAAAGTAAAGTGGTAAAATCTGGGTACATCTTAGTGAACATTTTATGAAACGATAGAATGTTTTGTGGATCAAGCAAACTAAAGTTAAAATATCTGTCAACAATAATATGTAAGTTAGGTGGACTGAATATATTCTGAAGTCTTCCTATGCATTCTTTGAATGCAAATAAACATAGTGTAAAGGATGTACTTCAGGCAGAAAACCCCTGTAGTGTCTCTTTGTCATCAAATTTCTTCCTTGTTTTATCTGATTAGGTTTTGAAATTAAGATTATGCTAGTCTTTTAATAAAAGTGATATAGGTTTCTTTTTGGAATAATTTTGAAGATAAGAATATTTTGAATAATCAGTAAAACTAATAATAAGACCATCTAGCATTTTTGTGGGAAGATTTTTTCAAAGTACCTATTCACTTTATTTAAATATTATTGGACTATTCACCTTTTATTATTTTTTTCTAGTCAATTTTGGTAAAATTTATTTTTAGAGGATCTTGTAATTCATTTTTTCAATTATTTATTGACATAACAATTTCAGAATATCTCCTTAGTATCTTTTAATTCTACTGGATCTGAGTTACATCACATTTTTTATTTCATATTTTATTTAGTATTTTTGAGCTTTTATTTTTTCATATTGACCAAGCTTGCCAGACATTTGTAAATTTTATTAGTGTGCTCAAAGAACTAATCCATAGTTTTGTGTATTCTCTCAATTTTATGTTTATTTTACATTTCATTACAAGTTCCTTATTATGGCATTTGTAAGGTATACTCATATATATTTTTCTTTAACTTCTAATCTTTCTGTGTCCTTATATTTTACAATAGCTTTTTTTTCAGTCATCATAGTAAAATTGATCTAAAATTTAGAAGTGTATGATAACCTGTGTCTAAATAAAATTTTCCAATAGACTTGTGATTCTCTCAGGCTAGAAGTTTCTGCAAGTACTCAGGAACAAAGTCCGTAAGGTCTGAGACCACACACAGATGTTTGTTCAAGTTCTGACATGATTCAGGAACATGGCATGTTCCACCAAATTATAAGGATAAAGTCTCAAAATACTCCTTAGATGTGGATAAAAAGTGAAAATCTACCCAAGAGTTAATTTTATCCTAAGAGGCATATTATTTGTATTTTTAGAAAAGAGAGTAAAACAGGTTAAAATTAAGACCTTTTTAGAATAAGATAAAGATAGGTTCTAAAGTTATTTGTATATAAAAAAGTGGAGTCCATAGTCTCATAGTAAATATAAGGTATACCCCTTTGAGTCAAGGAAAAAAAAAGAAAGAAAGAAAGAAGGAAAGAAAGAAAAGAAAAGAAAAGAAAAGAAAAAAGAAAAGAAAAGAATAAAGAAATGGCACCCATCTCCACATCATCAGTAAGGGGATGAAATACTCCAATACTAATAGAAGAAGGGATAAATGGGTATCAGGAACACTTTTTCAATGAAACATCATCTGGTGTTC